TCGGGGTCGGAATCTAGTTCTAAAAATTTTCATAGCTTTGTTATGTCATTTATGACTTGTGTGCAAAATTTGAAGTTAATCAGACTTGATTTGATAGGCTTTTGCATCGAGTATAGAAGTTGGACGTTCTTAGTTTCATTAGGCTTGAATGGGGATGTGATTCACGGTTTTAGCATTATTTGATGCAATTTGAGGTTTCGTCTAAGTCCGTATCATATTTTAGGACTTGTTGGTGTATTTTGTTGAAGTCCCGAGGGCCGAGGGTGGATTTCGGAAGGTCAACGGGTAGAAAAAGCTGCTGAAATTCTCTTTGGGAAGCTGCTGTCTTTTTTTTACAGCATCATGTACAGTACCCCATGAACAGTACCGTGTACAGTACCGTGAACAGTACCCTGTGAACAGTACCATGTATAGTACCCCATGAGCAGTACCGTGTACAGTACCCCATGAACAGTACCATGTATAGTACCCCATGAGTAGTGCCGTGTACAGTACCCCGTGAACAGTAAGTCGTGAATGCGTGAACAGTACCGGAATTTTTCTGGACAGAACATTAAGTTCTGACAATGGGACTTTTAGCGAATTGGAGCTCGGGAAGAGGCGATTTTCGGGAGATTTTCAGAGAAAACAACAGGGTAAGTGTTCTTAACTTAATTTTGGTTAGATTACCCGACTCTATTACTAGTTTTGGCATTTAATTGGTGATTTTTAATTAGAAAATTTTTGAAAACCCTCTTGGTTTAATTTGAAGATTTGAGGGTTGAGTTGATGTCGGATTTTAGTAAAATTGGTATGGTTGGACTCGTGGTTGTATGAGGTTTCATATTCCGTAATTTTTGTCGGGTTCCGAGACATGGGCTCCACGCNATATGGAATTAATTCCTATAATTTTTATTGACTGAATCGAATTGTTTATGACTAGATTTGGGAATTTCGGGCACGAATTCGCGAGGCAAAGGCTTGTTGGAATTTTGAATTGGTTGCAAATCGAGGTAAGTGTTTGGTCTAACCTTAGCTTGAGAGATTAAGAGTTGTATCTTATTTGCTACATGTTAATTGTGGAGTACGACATATAGGCATGGTGACGAGTATCTATACGTTGGTGTCAAGCATGCCCCTGAGTTTTATATTTAATTGTTATGACTCTGTTGTGGTTTATTGCACTTCATATGTTATTATTATTATTGTTCCTTTGTCGGGATGTTTGTTTGATATTATTGTTCCCTTGCTGGGATGTTTGTTTGATATTATTGTCTCCCTTGCCGGGATGTTATTGTTTTGATGTTGTTTCCCTTGCCGTTTATTTGATTGTTGTATTATTGTTCCCTTACCGAAATTTTATTGTGATTTCATTTATTTCCTTGCCCTTATTTCTTGTGATTGTTGTTTGGGTGAGGAAGAGTGTTAAAGCACGAAGGGTGATGCCGTGTATGATTTTGTGAGGAAGAGTGTAAAGCACGAAGGGTGATGCCGTGCCACACAATGTTCAATTCCGTGCCGATTATATTGATTTTATGGTGAGGAAGAGTGTAAAGCACGAAGGGTGATGCCGTGTAGTTTATATTGATTCCTATGGTGAGGTCGAGAGTAAAAGCACGAAGGGTGATGTCGTGCACTTGTCCTTGATTTTTCCTGATTCTAATTGAGTTATGTTGTCCTGTACGTTTATTTACTGATTTTCCGTTATTACTTGATTTTATTTCGATATTATAGATTCCCTTACCCTATTTGCCTTGTGTTTGTTGCTTGGGTAAGGAAAATTGTAAAGTAGGAAGGGTGATTCCGTGTATTGTTTTGGTGAGAGAGTGTTAAAGCACGAAAGGTGATGTCGTGCACTTTCTGCTTGCTGTGTTTACTTGTTATTAACAATTCAAGTGTATTAACTGTTAGATCCCTTTATTGTTGTGATCCTTTGTGTTTGAATCCATAGTGTTTACAATACCTCGCCTTATTTTTTTAATATGTTCAATACTTCAAATTTCAAGAATTATTACATTTTTAACTCAATTGATTTCTCAACTAAAGTTTCCTTAAACTGTTTGAGGTTGTACTTTACTTAACATGGAATTTCTACTATGTTTTAATTTATTAATTTCTCGTATTAAAGGTAATGATTCCTTTGATATTGTACTTTCATTGAAAATGGTATTTTCTTTATCAAATGATTTCAAAAAAAAAAATAATTTCATCTTTTCTTGTTGATTTCCTAATTGGGTTGGAAGTTGTACTCTACTTTATGTTAAGTGAATAAGGCTCTTTGAACACTCTTAATTGTATTGGGTTATGGAACCTATGAGCTGAGTCACATGAGAATATTGTTGTGCAGTGTGAGACAGAAATATGTGGGCACAAGGTGCGGGGAAAAATATTATGGTTTTATTTAATGACATGTGAGTTGTCCGTGCGGTTGTGACATAAATATGGGCACGAGGTGCCATGAAAATATGAAAGTGGGCTGAGACCTATATTATTTATGATTATGAAATGAGGTGTCACAAGGTGACCTTTACTCGAAAGAATTATATTCGAAAGATGCTTATCTGAAAGATATTTATTTGAAGGAAATATATTCGAAATATATTTATTGAAAAGCATATTATCTTAGAGATTATTACTTGAAGGATTTATAGGCGAAAGATTTATATTTGAAGGACTTGATTAATTTATTGGACTTTTATTTATTATTTGTTGAGAAACATTTATGGTGTTCTTGTTGCCTGCTATTTATATCACTGGTTGATCATTGTTGCCATCATTGTTATCTGCTTCCTATTATTTTTGTACGCTATTTTGCACAGGTTTATTTGGTAGTCTGGTCCTAGCCTCGTTACTACTTCGCCGAGGTTAGGCTAGGCACTTACTAGCACATGGGGTCGGTTGTGCCGATACTACACTTCTGTACATTTTTGTGTACAGACCCAGGTATTTGATCGATAGTAGCTACTCGTTGCGGTGGAGACTCAAGGTAAACCTGCTGCAGCGTTCGCAGTCCTCAGAGTCACCTTCAATTGTACTTATTTCCATTTGTTCCCTTTGTTTCGGAACAGTGATGTATTTATTTTGTATAATTACTCTTAGAAAGACTTGTGACTTGTACCACCGGTTTTGGGAATTATAAATTGTTAAGAGTTATTGAATTTAAAGTTGGCAAATATCAATATTATTTCAGTTAATGTTAGGCTTATATAGTTTAGAGCCTAGGTGCCATCACGACTCCTTCAGAGGGATTTTTGGGTCCTGACAATAGGAACCCGGTAGCGGGTGTTGGTAGCTCAGCCACGGAGTCATCAGAGTTAGCAAGGTGGCTGCATGACGTTCACATCACCGCTTCCTTCTCCTCATTGTTGTTACTGTATTTAGTACATTTTTAGACTTTTGTTGTATTCAGACCTTGATAGTTGCTCATGACTAGTGACACCCCGATGTCGGGCTAGTATTTTATTTCACACTGTTATTCCAGGATTTTATTATGTAATATTGTTTAATTAAAAGACTTAAAAATGACTCTTAATGCTTAAAGGGTTAAGGTGAGTGTTGTGTCGGCTGACCTTGTCTTCACGAGAGGCGCCATCACGACCGGGCCGATTTGGGGTCGTGACAATAGATTTTCTCAACTTTTAATTTTCCTAATCTCATATAAAGAGTACAAAATTTCGTATGCTTAATTCTTAAAATGGTAAAAAGATAACTTTCTTTTCTTGTGAAAAAAATAATTTCTATCTTTACAATAAAGAAAATCTCATAACCTTTCTCATATTATATATGTGTATAATTTAAACCATATTCGATAGTGGTAATATTAATAATTATATAAAATCATATTTGTCAAACTTTTTTTTTACAAAAATGTTCCACTCAAAATACCATATGAAAATATATCTAACAATATAAAGGTTGTTAACTTGCGTAGTCTTACAATAACCTAGTCACAAATCCTCTATCATCTCATGAAAGGTCTTAATCCCTTCAAGCTCATATGAATTACTATGACTTATCCTAATATTAAATTACGGGATGTAACAATGGTCTTCTCCTGGTTTTATTCCTCCATAAGGATTTGGTTATAGCCTGAGTAAGCATCCAAAAAACTCAACAGCTCGTGCCCGACTATTGCGTCGAAGAGTTGGTCGATGTGAGGTAATGAGAATGAATCCTTTGAACATGCTTTATTTAAGTCTGTGAAGTCCACGCACATCCCCCATTTCCATTTTTCTTTTTTACCATCACTACGTTGGCAATCCACTTAAGGTACTTCGGCTCCCTAATAGAAGCATTCTCTAATAATTTTTCCACTTCCTCACAAACTGGATTGTTGATGGCGGGGTTGAATTTATGCCTCACCTGTCTAACTGAGGGGTGGAACGGATCGACTTTCAATTTGTGTGTGGCGATTTCCCTTGGGATGCCCGGTATATCTGCATGGCTGAAGGCAAATAAATCTGCATTAGTTATTAAGAATTGACAGAGTTCACCTAATTCCTAGAGTTTGCAGCCGATATAGGCCTTTTTGCAGTAATCGTTGAGGTCCAATTGAACAGGGTTGAGGTCTTCTGTGGTCGAGTCAGTTGCCTCGACCATTTTGGGCTCCGTGATGGCGTCTCCAATCTCTCCTTGCGTTGACCTCGACCTTGTTGATTGCCATGCCTCTTTTTCCTTGTATTTTTTCTGTTGGATTGTCATGCTGTCTAAGGTAATACGGGATCATTCTCGGGACATGCGCTGATCCCTGCATATGCTGAATATTCCCCATGGTGTTGGGAATTTGATTATTTGGTATAGGCTGGAGGGGATGGCTCTCATGGGATGTATATACAATCGTCCCACTATGGCATTGTAAGCGGTGGCCTGATCCATGATGTGGACTGTCATCTCCAATATTACGCTGCCGGCCAAGATAGGCAATGTGATTTCCCTGACGTCCGCTCAGCTGCATTATTAAAATAGGTTAGTGTGATGCAGCACGATACTATCATTTCCTCGAGTCTCATTTGGGTAAGGAATCAGGAGCATGCGCCACTTCCATCGTCCACCATGATACATTTAACATCGATATCTAAAATGCGTAAAGTAATAACAAGGGCATCATTATGAGGGAAATTCAAACCGTCGGCATCCGACTCATCAAAGATGATATTTTCTTCGAGTCCTTCGTACCGTTCGCAGGTGATAGACCGCTTAAGCTTGTGAGTGGTGGTGAACTTCACACCGTTGATGGATGCGTCATTGCCGCCACCGACGATAATGTTGATTGTACGAGCTGGTGATGGTGGCTTCGACGGGCCTTGGTGTTTGTGTCCTTTGGTGAAGTTCATTCTACCGCTATCGCTTAGCAGCTCTTTGAGGTATCCCTACCATAACATGTTTACGACTTACTGTCTGAGGGTGATGCAATATTTCATTTTGTGCCCACGTTCCTAGTAGAACTCATAAAAGCCATCGAATTTTCTAGTGTTGGGGTCTGATCTCATCTTCGATGGCCACTTCACCTTTATTCCAAGTTTCTCAAGAGCGTAGACAATTTCTGTAGGTGATACACAAAAATTGTGAGCAGAAAATAAAGGGGGATAACTCCTTCTTTCCGATGAGTCCCCATTCTTGGCCTGGATGGGCCTTCTTTATAGCGGGAGCAAGGTGCGGCGGCTGCCCTAACATATGGCTGGTGTCATTCCTTATTGGGTCGTGAAACCGGTTGGTCTCTTCTGATGTTGTCTCTTCGTTCTTTTTTGGATTCGACTTGTACCGAGGTTAGCCGGTGAGTTGGTTCGTTGAGGCCGTCCTCGTCTTCTCGGACCTCGGCACAATTAGCATTATGGATTTCATCCCAAGTGGTTGGAGTATACTTCATTAATCGGCTCAACAGTTTTTTAGTTGCTCTTGAACCATCTCTACTTATCCCATTCTAGAAAGCTGCGACCGTCATCCCTTCGGATACATTCAATAGAGTCATCCTTACTCTGTTGAACAAGGCGAGGAAGTCTATTAGTCCCTCTCCAAAGGACTACATAATAGTGAGTATGTCGTTTACTTTTATTTCGGCCTTCTTGGCTTCGGCGTGGGCGGTTAGGAACTTATCGGCCATTTCCTCAAAAGTTTCTATGGAGCGGGCTGGCAGTTATAAGTACCACATCAGTACCCCCCCCCCCCCCCCCTCCGTAAAGGTTTCGCCAAACTTGTTCAGCAAAATAGAGGACACTTGTTATTCATTTGAAAGATATTTACAACTTTTAAGATATTATTTATTAATTTATAATTATTAATATACTTCGATAGATTAATGTGAAAAAAGTTTATTTAACTATGTAATTACAATCATCCAGCCAAGCATGACAGTGAAAATTACACTGTAATTACCTTCTGGCAAACAAACATGTCATTGTAATTACTATGTTGTGTAACTACTAGGGTGGTAATTACACAGCCAAGTAATTACACATGGCTTTTCAAATAGACCCTAAAGGAATTCCTAATCTTGTCATCATATTTAATACTCCTTCTGTTTCAATTTAGATGAGGTAGTTTGACTCAACACGAAGTTTAAGAAAAAAAAGAATATTTTTAAAACTTGTGGTCTTAAAAACTTAATGGATAAAAGCTTTGTGGGGCTATGACATTTGTGTGATTATAAAAGGTTCTCATTAAGGATAAAATGAAAAGTTTAAAGTTAAATTATTTCCAAATATAGAAATATATCATTTATTTTGGAATAGATTAAAAAGGAAAGTAGCTCATCTAATTTGAAATGGAGGGAGTAGCATGTTTGGCCGAGGTTGATAGACCCTAAATTAATCATGTTTGAAAAAATAATTTTGGAGAGAAGCAATTTATATTTGGCTAATCAATCTAAAAAGCATTTTGAGTAATAATTTGTATTTGGCCAAATTTTTCAAAATGTGCTTTTAAGTATCAAATTACAAATAAGGATATGAATAGATTTACTTACTAGTTCATATTATAAGTAAACAAATAGTCTCAAAATTTTATTATTAAAGACAATAATTAAATCTTTTTATTGTATTTAAGTAAAATATGAAAATAAAATTAAAAAGTACTTTAATTATTTTAAGATAATTTAAATATATTCAAAAATCATTCAATAAATACAAAATCATTCGTCTCTGAAGTTACTATATATTAGAAAGTTATCCTAAAAATAAGAAGAAGTACTTACACAATAATATCTTAAGTATTAGGTTTCAAATAAGTAAAGTTAATTTGGTATATACTATATTTTGTTAAGGGTATTCTTGGTAAGAAAAAAAGCCAAAGATGCTTTTGCTTCTACTTTTTGGGAGAAATTATTTTTCTTTGTTTCTCCAAAACTGCTTCTGCTTCTTCCCAAAAGTACTTCCTCAACCCACCCCCACCCC